TCAGAAAAGGCGAGGGGCTGAGGGGTGTGTGTGTGTGTGTTTATGTGGGGAGTGCTTTTGCCGCCTGTGGTTCAGACTGCCTGCAATTTATTTATTAATCACATTTGTGCCCCGCCCTTCCCTCACAAGGCAGGCTCAGGGCGGGTTGTTCCTCACAAGCACCTACATTTCTGTCTCACTTGCTAGTTCTGCTGTCTCAACAACTATTCTTCCAAACAACTGCATGCATTCTAAAGGCACAAATGCTTGCTTTAAAAAAAAAGATCTCTTCATCGGCTCCATAACGTCTATGCAAAGAGTACCTATCCAAGCCTAGAACACTGGCAGAATCAGAGCCTAGACCGGAAGTCACCAGAATCTAGAACTTGGGCATCTCCACCTGCCACTTTGTACGGAGTTTTAGGTTCAAATGAAACACTATGAAAGAATACTTGCACTATTTTTTCTTCACCTGAACTAGCTGGGGCATTTGAAGAAAGTCAGATGATAAAAAGCCATTTAATTCATTTCTCCTCAGCCGTCTTCCAACACCAGATTGCCTTTTCACCCATGTGTGGAAAATTGTAGGCTCTGTTTCATATATACTCCACTCTGATTTTAGCCTACTTCGGCTTAATTTAAAACAACCTCAGAGCACCACAGAACTGTCACTTCAGCCTTAAATTTCCCAACATTGTGAGTGGTCTAATGTCTAAAGGCAGGGTCACTGAGAGCTAATTATATTCCATTTTTTCACTAAACTGAAATCTTTCATATTAGAGCTATTACAAAAATCAAAGTTACAACAGTTGCCTTTTCAGGGACACACCCTGGCAAGGATTCAAGTTTGGGCTCAGCTCCATTTGTTAAAATTTTGTTATGTCACATCTTTAGGATTGTTGGGTGTATTCAGGTAACACTTACATTGGTTTCAATGGGGAAAAACACTCCCATCTGTAATTTCCCCCTCAATGCCCAAGTGAGATAAAATTATCAGAGACTGTAGCTTTCGCCCAAGGGAGGCCCAGATGGATAAGAAGAGCCCACTGGGGCAGGATCAGACCAGTGGTCTATCGGGCCCAGCCCCCTGTTTCACACCAGTTCCTCTGGAGGTCTAGCAAGGGGGCAGAGAGGCTGAGGCCTTCCTTCCCCTTGTTAACAGGCTATTGAAGTTCTCCCTTGCAGAATGGGCCTGTGGAGGCAGGAGGGGATGTCTTCTGTTCTTCCATCCTTTCCTCCCGTGGCAGTTCTGATGGCTGCCGTGGGGGCAGGACCTATCCATCACAAAATGGCAGCCATGGGTGATTTATACATTTATTTATACCCCAGCGGAGACTGGTTCCTTGCTGTGGGAAGAGGCATTATTTTGTTTCAGTTTCTAAAGAATGGGGAGGGTTTGCTTTGTGCGTGCCCACAGACAGAGAACGTTTGTGGCCAAGCCATGGGCGAACAGATGCAAGATGCCTGCCCGGGACAAGCTCGGAGCTCTGCTAGAGAATGACCCAAAGCTGTTTTTCTTTCTTCCATTCAAGACCCTTTGGGTTTCATTCCCAAAACTCAAGAAGGCAGAGTGGGCACCAGGAAATGCCTCAGCAGCTGCCATTTGCATCTGGTTGGAGACAGCGGCACTAGCTACGTGCTGCAGTTTGGAGCCTCTTGAGTTGCTGGTGCACCATCTAAAAGTATATTTGTGAATATAAAGACCATTATCCCCCTGTTGCTTTCAACCTGACAGATACAGCTGGAGATTGGTAAATGGTCTTTTTATATTTTCAAAGAAAGACTCCGTATTGATTACATTACTGCTGTTTTTTGGAATAATTTGAAAATTCACAATAAGTCATGAGATACTTTCCCTTACATTCCTTACTTCTAGAAGCCAGTTAATCAGGAAATGAAAACATTCCCTTGAGCTTCCCATTCTTGTCCATCACAGCTGTGACTTCTCTGATTGGCTAGAACAAAGAGAAGGTGGAGCAGGCTGTTTCCACTGCATACTTAAGCAGAAAATACTTTTTTTTTTTTGCCTTCTGTCTTTGCATTTGGAAGGCCTGGAAACTAGCTTTAAAAAGACAAACAAACAACAAATCTGGAGACCTGGATCAGCTAATTGGTCAAATTGGTGGCATGCCAAAACCTGACTAATTGGTCAAATGGATAAAACCTGGCCACCTGGGCAATATGGCAACCCTAACCAAATGCAGCATCAGCGTTCTTTGAGTGGGTGGGCGGAGTTTGAATTAAATCAAATTCTCTGCCTCTTCATCCCCTCCTAGCTTTCCTTCTAGCATTCATAGCAAAGTATTTGCCCATTCCTACCATCACATCGATGCCCAGTAGCTAGAACAGCTTAGCCAAAAATCCTAAATATAAATACACGTTGATGGGGTCCGAATTGGCAGAGAGGGACCAAGAGAGAGATCTTGGAATTGTAGTAGATAACTCACTGACAATGTTGAGACAGTGTGCAACTGCAATAAAAAAGGCCAATGCTATGCTGGGGATTATTAGGAAGGGTATTAAAAAAAGATCAGCCAATATCATAATGTGCCCATATAAATCAATGGTGCGACCTCATTTGGAATACTGTGTACAGTTCTAGTCACCACAACTTTAAAAGGATATTATAGCTTTGGAAGAAGTGCAGAAAAGGGCAACTCGGATGATAAAAGGGTTGGAACACTTTCCCTATGAAGAAAGGTTAAAACACTTGGGGCTCTTTAGCGTGGAGAAACAACGGCTGAGGGGTGACATGATTGAGGTTTATAAGATTATGCGTGGGATAGAGCAGGTAGAGAAAGAGGTACTTTTCTCCCTTTCTCACAATACAAAAACTTGTGGGCACTCAATGAAATTGCTGAGCGGTCGGGTTAGAACAGATAAAAGGAAGTATTTCTTCACCCAAAGAGTGATTAACACATGGAATTCACTGCCACAGGAGGTGGCAGCGCCTTAAAGCATGGACGGCTTCAAGAGGGAATTAGATAAGCATATGGAGCAGAGGTCCATCAGTGGCTATTAGCCACAAGGTATAGATAGGGGCTCTGGGGCAAGTGATGCTCTGTCTTCTTGGTGCTTGGGGGGGGGGGGTCAACAGTGGGAGGGCTTCTAATGTCCTGTTACATAGAAAGAAAAGGAGCCCCAAGCTGGTGGGAAAGCAATGGTTTGGGGGGAATGCTGTGCAAAATAATGTTAATCAGAGATGATGCTCTATGGAGCAAAGACCGACTAAGTGTTCTGGTCAGTGTGCCTCTCAGGTACACATCTCCCAAGTTCCTTTGTTGCATGCCTCAGATTTCACTGCCCAAGGAAACGGAGACTTAAGAAAGTATCAGGAAATGGAAACTGATGTCACAGTTGTACCAGAAGAACATCCAGATATGAGCTAGACATTGTATAGAAATATTGTTTCTATATTCACATGCCTTTTCCTGTGATGTCTTTTGATAACATGCTATGTCTTGTTTCCTGTTGCAAGCCAAATGGTGAGGCCACATGGCCTCAATAGCCATGCCATAAACCCACATTCTTTCACACTTTCATGCCAAAAGCCAGACCTCATGGCTACATTTTCTGGCCCACATGCGACAAGTCACGTACTCAATGAAGTAGCTGGAGTTTGGGTCAGCTGACTGCAGGCAGGGTCTCCAAACTTCCAGCCAATCCCACAAACCTGAGGTTAGCAACCATGGCAACCAACAATTAGGCACACCCATGCCCACTCGCAATTGGCTGATGACCACAGCTAATTTGTGACTGGAATTGGAGTATAATTGTTTGATCCCTATGGGAGTGAGATCCCCAGTTAAGACACTCTCCACACTTTTGTGGAGTGACAATTTTGACAGTGATGTTTATTAGAGATATGCTTACTATAGGTTTCAGATCTTTTGTCAGGACTGAAAAAAGTGCACGAAATTCAGAGGTTATAGGTACAAGATACTACACCCCCTAACACCCCACTCATACGTCAGCAGGCAGGCCGATCCGTTACCATGGCACCTCGACAGATATACAGTGCTTATCTCTGCAAGCCTAAGAAAGGAGTCTCCAAGGCCATGAGAGCCAGCTTAGGGGCACAACTTAAAGGATGGTTATGGCTACAAACAGGCACTCTATCAACACACTCTCTCCCCATGCACCCTCCCCCCAGATAAATGGCAAGCAGTGAAGCAAAATGAAGGAAAGGAAAACTGAAAGCCTGATGCTTCTTCAGCAACAGAACCTCCTTCTTTCTGTTTGCATATGCAGTAATGTTATAACATCATAGCACTGTAAAAAAAAGGTTGGATGTATTGTTGGGAACAGCATGGTTGCCCCATTTCAAAGGTTCCCCGCTCATCCTTAGTTGCCAACTAAGAAAATGGCTGATGATTGTTGAACCGGATACACCAATTCATAACAGTGTTATTCA